CATTTTGTGGAGACCTTTTGTTGGGATGAGAGACGAGAGAGAGAGAGAGAGCGAGAGAGAGAACGCGAGAGAAATAAATAGATGCCCTTCGGCATGAGGAACCGGTCGTTGCAACGGAGAGAGGACCCAAGAATAGCCGATCTCCAGACACCCCTGATCTTTGCCGCCATTTGGTGTAGTCTGTAGTTTAGTGGGCGATTATTTAATTCTAGATCTTAGATATCTACTCAAGTTAAATCATCTAAAAAATTATTTTACGCTGTATTTTGGAGGCTACTGTAACTCTAAAATTACCGGAGAAAAAGCGTAGATTTGGCAGTTTGTAAAGTATCGCATTCTAGAGATTTCGATAGTTATAAATTATCATGCTTGTCGAATTTCTTTAATTTCAGGTTCTTTGGCAATATCGGGGGTGGGGAGCTTTTTCCTATCGGTCCAGAAATTCCTAGTATATATTTTAATAAGGTTTTTTTGGTTCAAAACTAGTTTTAAAGTGGAAAGCGACAATAAAAACTATAATTGAAGTTTTTGTCGAAAATCAGCCATTTTTGGTCGAAAAAACGATATTATTTTTGGATCTTTTACTCCCAATTTGGAAAGAAATCGTGAAAAAAGTTTAGAATCATTTCCGCTAATTATATTATAAAAATCGGATCCTCATAATAAAGGTTCCCCCCCGGTAATGCGAAAGCACCTAATTTTAAAATACCGTAACCCGTTATTACTATGACGGGTTTTTAGCTTTATGTTATTTGAGATTTTCTATCAGTTTCAATCTGGAACTCTAAATATTCCTGTCACGGCCACTTTAGGACTACCGTAGTCAAATGCCTGAAATCCCCCAAAGCTCTCCGCTTGTTTCCTTATCTTTTTTTTGCATATGAAACGCGACAAGGGCGTCTTTTAGCGCGCGCCGCCCCGGGGCTTGTTGGTGGAGTGTTTTGTACCAGCCGCTTCCAGCGGCTTCGCCGCTGCAAGCGGCTGGACTTCGGGCTACCCCCTGCGCTCCCACCGCCTCGCCGAAACGCGCACGACCTGGCTCACTATGCGAAAAGCATGCCAACCTCCGTCCCCGACCCCTTTTCCTAAGGAAAAAACTTTCAAGTTAAATTTAATAATTTAAATTAAAACTTTTTGATAATTTTTTTAATCAGTTTGGGGGTTTCTGACCGCGCTCTATCCGAATCCGAAGAGACCTAAGCTCTAGCTCCTTTCCCCTTCGAGTTGAATTCGGCTTCACACACACACACAGACACCACAGCAAAATTATTATAGTAGATTGGAGGTGAGAATAGAGGAGAGAGAGAGAGAGAGAGAGAGAGAGAGAGAGAGACGTTTTGTGGCGGAAGGGGCGCCCTTCAAGGCGCGCCCCCTCAACACCTACATACATCATCATCCCCCGTTCCGTTCACTCCACTCAACACCTTGGCGGTGATATAAATATACTGTACTGTTACGGTGGATAGGCGACGTTCCTAAGGAATCTCTGCTAGCCTGCCTTTTCCTAAAAAATTCCTGCTAGATTACTTCAAAATTTAGCTTTTTGCGACGATTACGTGAATTTTCCTCAAGGATCTGCGCTAGTTTGCCCGTTTAGATGTTGTTCCTAAGGGATCTTGCTAGCTCTCTCTCTCTCTCTCTCTCTCTCTCTCTCTCTCTCTGTCTCTGTCTCTCTCTATTACTATTTATCTCACTCTCTCGCTCTTCTCTTTCTTCTCACTCCACTTCGTCATCACAAATCGTCACGAATTCGATTACTAATCAGCGCAACTCAAGAACAAAGCCACTGAGTAATCAGCTGCTAGCCAATTTCCAGGGCTATAAAACCCTCGATTCCACACTTTTCTATTAGCACCCCAGAATTGTCTCTATTTTGTCTATCTACCCGCCTCGATTCATCTTTGTTTTTGATATCAAAGTTACCTCCTCGCCGCTAACCGGTCCCGCTACACAATACACCAAATTACGGGGCTGTTTGTCGATAGTTTTTAGTCGAATTTTTGGGTTTTGTGTTTTTGTCCTAAAGGGTCTCTGCTAGTTTGCTCTCCTCATAGATCGTAGCTTCTAGCGTTTTTGGGCGGAAATTCCGTAAAAGGGTTCTGCTAGTTTGCCGTGTTGACGAAAAGTTTTTTGCCATTTTCTTGTAGTTTTGATCACCCAAACGGTCTCTGCTAGCCTGCCCTACTGCTTGATTTATATATGCGTATTTTGGATTCATGTTTCCGCAAATGGTCTCTGCTAAGTTTGGCCTCCAGACGAGTACTTTTTGCCGTTTCTCTTGCAAATTAGATTCCCCAAAAATCTTCGCTAGTTGACTCAGGAGGTTAATTCTACCGTATTCTACCGTATTAGATTCCGCAAATGGTCTCTGCGATTTCCCCTAGGCGGCAAATAGTCTCTGCTATCTTACCAAAATTAGGATTATTTTGTTTTTGAAGAGTCTCCTCAAATGGTCTCTGCTAGCCTGCCCATGCCAAAGCCCTGACTCCTAAAGAATCGCTGCTAGCCTGCTCCTAATCCGAAAATCCCAGTGCCAGCGGAAATCCCGCAATTATCTCTGCTAGCTCTGAGCTCTAAAAATTTTTGCGATTTTGTAGGGCAAAGAATCACTGCTAGCCTGCCTGCCGACCAGAAAAACAGTATTTGTCGGCCTGCCCAGGCGAAGCTGTGGGAAAGCCGAAGATCGAAGGAGACCTGAGGCTATGTGTCGTTCTCTCTCTCTCTGTCTCTCTCTCTCTCTCTCTCTCTCTCTTCCTCTGCGTTTTGGGAGGATGAGCCGAGTGCTTATTTTTCGAAAGCGAAATCCCCTCCTCCTCCTCCTTCGTGCCTCCCTTCTACTGTCTGCCTGTCTGTCACACAGTTCGCAGAGACAGACTGTCCACACCAAAACCCCCCAGATCGTCAACTGGTTCCGCGTGTAGTCTACCATTTTGCGGGTAGCCGGTGCGCTAAATGGAGGGCCAGTCGTTTCCCTAAGAATCTCTGCTAGCCTGCCCGTTTCCTAAAGAATCTCTGCTAGGTTCCCCTTTCCTAGAGAATCGCTGCTAGCTCGCTTTATCCAAATTTCTGTTCCGCAATCATCTCTGCTGGTTGACCTTTAAGGCTTGTCAACGCTTTTTTGACGATCTGCTCTCTCTCCCTGTCTCTCTCGCGCGTCTCTCTCTCTCTCTCTCTCTCTCTCTCTTCCATTCAGGGCTTTTTGCCAATACAGGCTCCTCTCCCGCCATTGATCAGTCTCAACCAGCGGCTCCCCGAGATTCCGCCCTTCCTCGAAACCCCCTCGGGCAAGATTTTTGGCGTTTTCCAGGGTTCCGGATTGGCAGCGGTATCGATTTTTGGGCGATTCGGTTAAATTTGGGAGATTTTATGCGAATTTTCGCCGATTTATAAGAGGATTCCACCTGACGGTCCCTTTAAAACAAAAAAAAATTGGGATTCTGCTGGGCTTTTAGATGTTTCTCACTTTTTCTCGTGCTCTTTGCCTTGCTCTTGCTCACTCACTCTCAAGAAATCTCTGCTAATTTGCCCTGCGGGGCGGTCTTTCCTCGGGAATCTCTGCAAGACTCAGCACGACTCTCAAAGAGTGTCTGCTAGCCTGCCCCTACCAGCGGCTCGCTATCTCTTCCTGATCTCAAAGAATCACTGCTGGTTTGCCCGAGCGCCTCATTCCCAAATGATCTCTCCTAACTGACTATAGGTCGGGCTCAACTAGACTCTTCTAGCAACTGATATCGCTCTCTCCCTATGTCTCTCACTCACTAACTCACTCTCTTTCTATCTCTCTCTCTCTCTCTCTCTCTCGGCCTCTCACCTCGTTGATCTGGTTGAGCCATACAATCTGAAGTAGGTGAGGGGGGAATCCCCCCTCACATGGCTGTCACAGTATCCCTTTGTACTTTTCACTCCTATCCACCCCTCCCAAAAAAGATTCCAGTTCCCGCAAAATCTCAATCTCCCTTTTTCGACTACTTTTTGAGACTCACGAGGGGATCAGTGGCTTTTTTGAGCTCCAGAGAATTTTTCGACTTTTTAGCCTTTTCGAGCAAATTTTTTAAGAGCCCTGAGGTGAATTTACTAGCGTAATCGATTACAACAATTTTTGGTTCTTTAGGAGTCCCGGGGGGCGGAAGCGTTTCTAAATTGTTTTTAACTATTCCTGAGCAGAAAAACTACACACATTTTAACCAAAAAAAATTAAAAAATAAAAATTAGGTCGAAAATCCTATAGAACCTTTAGGATTCGCGGGGGGAAAGACCCAAAATGACCAAATTTTCGACTTTTTAAAACGTTTTTCTAAATTTTTCTGAAAGTTTTTCTGCTTTAAATATATATAAAACTTACTAAAAACCATCCGAAAACACTTTATATTTGATTACTAGGTCAACCGGGACCACCAGGAAAAAAATTGGTTTCCCCGGGAATCCTAAAGAACCCAATTTTTGGATAATTGCCAAAGCTTTGAAATTTTTAAAGGCACTCGCAAGGAAAGGATCCACGGGAAACTCCGATTTTCGAGCCTTGGGAACTAGTTGATTGCAATTAGAATTTTGGTTTTTTGCGCAAAATATTTAGCTTATTTGTCTTCCTTGTCCCTTTAAACCTAAAAATGTGGAATTTAACATATTTTTTTAATTTTGCGCGGAAGCCAGGATTTCTGAAGGTTCTCTGCTAGGCTGTCCTTGTGGTTTCCGAATTCCTCAAGGAAAATCTGCTAGATTGCCTGATTAAGAATTTTTTTACTACTTTGTGACTAGTTCTGCATTTTCCAATGGTCACTGCCAGCTTGCCCTAAATTTCTTGGGCAGGCTAGCATAGTTTTTTGAGGAATTGGAATTAAGGGGAATTTTAGTTAGATGAAGTTTGCTTGCGCCTTTAAAATGTGGTAAACTCGGATTTAAAATGGGTTTAATTTCGTTTTAATTCATCATTATTTTAACTCTTTTTATTTTAATGATATCTAATTTAATTTTAATTTAAAAATTTAATTTCTACATTTCAGATGATCTCAGGAGGTCCTCCATTCAGTGGAGGCCTCGGCTTCTCCCTCCCCTCCTTCTCCACCTCTTCGTCCCGAAAACAACGGCTTCTCCTCCTCATCGCCATTCTAGTCATCTCCTTCAACGGGTACGCCGTCGCCACCAAGTACGTTTCATTCCTATTGACATACGATTTTTCTGTATTCCAGGAAATTCTCGGTGCTGCGAATATCGCCGCACAGCAAGCGGGACGTCGAGTTTTTGCATGAGATTCGCGAAAAGGACCATGATGTGAGTCTTTTTAAAAGGTTACGGTAGTTTTGTCGGTACTGGACTGTTAGCGGGGGGATGAGAATTTTTAGCGTGAATTTTTTATACGTTTTATGACTCATAGCAATCCAAACCTTCTAAATCTCTAAAAAAAGTTTTTATGCTATACTAATAATGCCGAAAACATAAAAAATATTATGCGGAAATATAAAAGTTACCCCCCGGTAACAGTGCAGTGCCGTTTTCTCTCCAAAATTGCAACGGATCTCTGCTCGCTTGCCGTCACTTTGTTCGTCGTCGAAAAATCTCTGCTAGCATCGCTTGCCCGCCGCTGCTAGCATTTTTGTACATTTGACAATTTTTGCGCTTTTTTCATCGAAAATCCTGGATTATCTCTGCTAGCTTGCCTTTTTTCGTTGTGTCGAAAATCTATAGATTTTGTCTTCAGGACCCTTTAAAGACCGTCAGAACGATCAAAATTTCGTTAAATGCAAAGAAGTGGCGCAGGCGGGGGTCGAACCCGCGATGGTCCGCTCCACAGTCCGACGCGCTAACCACTATACCACAGGTCCGAGTGGCGAGGGGAGTCAGAGGCGTCCCAAAACCGAAAGGGCCTTTGCCCACTACGGGGCGCGACTAATGACGCCTCTCTCTGCGCGTTCTTGGGGGCAGCACCCTCGGGGTGAGAGTGCGCGTTTCATCGTTCTGGTAGTCTTTAAAACGCTGCAAAAATTCTCTCTCTAAAAATTAAAGAGTTAAATACTAAACTTTCCCACGCTAAACCCAAATCCAAGGCTTTTTGCGCCGTAAAACTGTTTCCGCTCTCCCCCCCAGCTGAGTTGGCGTTTTTCGTTCCGGCTCTCTCTCTCCCTCTCGCTCTCTCTCTCTATCTCTCTCTTTTTCGCCGTTCAAAACTGAAATTTGCTTAAAAGTGCTTGGGTGAGAAGGCGAGACGAGACTCTCATGTCTCAAGGGCAAGCTATCGTTTTGGGCTTCTACCTCGCGAAAGGTAGACGAAGCGCGAGAGAGAGAGGGAGAGAGAGAGATAGGGGGAGATAGGGGGAGAGAAGAGGGAGAGGAGGTAAAAGCCAAGACCTCACAGCCAAAACTGGAAGGATGCCGTCGGCGCGCGCTGGCTACGCACCCATACAAATGACGGCCAGGGGGGTGCAAAACGGGAAATTCTCGCGCGCCGGCCATCGATTGTGGTTATGGCTGCCGGGGGGCTGCGGGTTGACGCTCCGAATCACACGTTTAGACGGAGGGGGATCAGAGGAAAAAAAGGAGAAAATAGCCGAAAAATCTCTAAAAGCAATTTTTGAAAAAGATAACGGTATAAAAATTTTAAAATCGAGAAGAACTTTAAAAAAATTATTTTTACTTCATTTTTTCAGCTCGATTTCTGGAAAGGACCGACAGCACCGGGCAAGGAGATCCATCTGATGGTTGATGAGGACAAGGTGAGCCGTGTTTTCACAAACCCTTTAACTGGCATTTCCAGACGGCATTCATCGAACGCGCGCTATCTCGGCGCAACATCTCCCACACGATCATGATCGCCGACGTCGAGAAGTACGGTTTTTTTGTTTATTAAAATTTTTTTGTAAAATTTAATGAATAGTTTGTTTAATTTCTATTCATTCTTGCTAGTTTTTGGTTTAGTTTATGTAATTTGTATTTGTAAAAAATGGGTTTGAAGTGATTTTATATAATTTCTATCAATTTCACCACATTTAAAATTACCCTTAAACGGATTTATTTATTTATTTGATGTTTTTCGTAAATTTTAATTTATTTTTTAATTTTTAGCAATTCCGGTTGGCTTATGTTTAACTTTAAAGGCAAGATTGAATTTAATAAATTCAAATTTTATTTAAATATATTTTTTTGCTCATAAAGTTTTTTTTAATATATTTTTTATGATTTATTTTAATTGACTTTAGAGTGATCGTCGACCAAAAGAAGAAACGAGCCAAAATCGACAGCGAGCTGCGGCTGAGGGATTGGCGGGAGGGAAAGGTATATTTTTAGTAAAATAGTTGAATTTTTAATATTTGTTTGATTTATTTATTGATTAGAACGGCCCTTTTTTCAGATCAACTTCAACCTGGCGCAGTACCACTCGTTTGCCGACGTGATCAACTACCTGAACGCGTTGGCCGTGACGTACCCCGAGCTGGTCTCCGTCCAACCGATCGGCACGACGCACGAGGGACGCCAGATTCCGCTCATCAAGGTCGGCGAGTTCTGGCGAGAATTTGGGGGTTTAAAGGGAGCGTGACAGATATATTTTCAGGAAATTTTAAATTTATCTTCTTTCCCCCTTCCTCTCACTCTCTCTGCCTCTATCGCTGTCTGTGTCTCTCTCTGTCTCCTTCTCTGTCTCTCTCTGTATCCCTCTCGCACTCTCTCTCTCTCTCTCTCTCTCTCTCTCACTCTCTCCTTTATGTCTTATTCTCTCTGAAGATTTCCATAAGTTTTTAAGGCAGTATTTAGCTGTCCATGCCCCTTTAAAACACATTTCCCTTCATTTCCTACAAATTCCGCTCCATTCCAGATTACGAACAAGCGACTACCTGGTCCGAAAAAAGCCGTCTGGGTTGATGGCGGCATCCACGCACGCGAATGGGTCTCGCCGAGTACTGTTCTGTACTTTATCCATACGGTATGTCTTTCTGATAATTTTTGTCTACCTGGCTTTTCCAGCTAATCACCCAATACGATAAGGACCCGAAAATCCGACAGTACGTCGACAGCCTGGACTGGTATCTCGTGCCGCTTCTCAATCCGGACGGGTAATTTTTTTATTAGTTTTGTAGCACTCTCTCTCGCTTTCTCTCGCTCTCTCTCTCTCTCTCTCTCGCCTAAAAATCCAACTCCTTTTTTTCAGCTACGAATACTCGCGATCGAGCACGAACCCCGAAATTCGGCTGTGGCGCAAGAACCGCTCGCCGGCCAAGTGTATCCAGGTGGCGTCCGGTGGGTGGAGGGAGTTGTAGTTTGGAGTTTGTAGTGTAGCTTATTGGTTTGTAGTTTGTAATTTTTAACTGGCCTTTATTTTTTGCCTAAAGTCTAGCTGTTTCCAATTTTCAGACGTAGTTTGTAGCCAGATGTAGCCTGTCGTTCGTAGTTTGTAAGGTAGCCGGCGCAGCAGAAAAATTATTCTTAGTTTTTGTGGCTTACGATTTCAACTTTGTAGTTTGTAGTGTTTGTAGTTTGAACTCGTTTATATACTCTTTTATCCCCATTATAACCCACATTTTCAGGCCCCTTCCAACCGCCGCAACAGCAGTGCTGCCAGGGCGTCGACTTGAACAGGTTCGGAATTTTTAGACGATTTCTAGTTTTTTATATTCTATTTATCTTTTTTCTTTTTTAAAATCCTATTTTGTATTTCTCTATTTTTCTAATGATATTTTAGTTCTCAATTATATTCAAATTTTTCAGGAATTTCGACTGGTTCTTCGGCCAGGTCGGCTCATCTACCGACCCCTGCTCCGAGATCTACCAGGTTTGTAGTTTGGAGCTTTTTGAAGTCTGTAGTTTGGAGTTTGTGATCTACAGTTGTGCTTTTAAAATTTCAAAACCGATCGATAATCGTCAATTTCCAGGGTGCGTACGCCTTCTCGGAGCCGGAAACGCGCTCCGTCCGCGATTTCCTCGCCCAGCATCGCATTACGACGTTCATTACGCTCCACTCCTACTCACAGGTAATAGAGTTTTTCGTATTTTTTTATGTATTTATTTTTCTAGATTCTGATGTACCCATTCGGGCACCAGGTCCGCACCTACTCCAACGATCTCAACGATTTGGTACGTATTTTTTGGGTTGCTTTAGTTGTTATAATATATCGTGATTTTGGATACTACCGTAGTTTGTAAACTATCGTAATTCCATGTTTCCTAAATTACGCTACCTTACAATTTTCTACGGGTACCGTAATCCATAAAGTAGCGTAATCCACGTAGTTCCGTCGTTTGTAAAATACGGCAATCTACGAAATTCGGTAGCTTTTAACGTACGAAAATTAGCGAAATACTGTCATTTGTGGCATGGCGTAATTCTCATAAATTCCTTATTTTTAAAGTGGTGTATCCTATAAAATTCTGTATTTTGTAAACTAGCTTACTTTGTAAAGTATCGTACGTATCGTAATGTACTTGTTCCAGCACGCCACCGCCACGAACGCGGCGAGCGCGTTGCGGTCGCTGTACGGTACGCAGTATCGAGTGGGAACCGGGGCTGATACGCTGTGTAAGTTTCTCTGACTCTCTCTCGCTCTCTCTCTCGCTCGCTCGCTCTCACGCTCTTTCTCTCGCTCTCTCGCTCTCCTGCTTCATCAATTTTTTGCAGACCCAGCATCCGGCGGCTCAGAAGATTGGGCCAAGGGCAAGGCGCACGTCAAATTCTCGTACTTGTTCGAGTTGAGGCCCGAGGAGCAGGTGTGGGATGGCTTCCTGTTGGCCGAGAATCAGGTAAGTTTGCCGGGTCTTACCTTAACCTACGTTTTCTCAGATCGTCCCCACGGCTCGGGAGACCTGGGAGGCAGTCAAGGTCATCGCCGACTCGACGCTGAGACATCAGGTAGAGTTTTTAAAATTTCCGACATTTTGAAGACGTTCGGAAAACGTTGGAGTCCATCTACTCTTTCTTCTAGGACTCTGCCGCCCCGGCCGTCCGCCACCACCCCCAGCAACCTGTTCAGCACCGCCCCGCCGCCTTCCGCCCGGCGATTTGCGAGGTACGGGGTTTTCGTTATTTGGAAATTTGGACAGGGCGCTGTAATTAGGAAATTAGTGGAATCCACAAAATGTTGTGTATTTTGGCGCGTCTGCAGAAATCTGTCATTAGGACAGTGCCGTAATCGGGGAAATTGCGTTGTTTTGGTCTTGGCGCGTGTCTTAAATATAGCTTTTCGAAAAGCCGCTCCCGGCTGCGCCGACTTCTAGGAGTTCAGGCGCGCGTTCAAGCAGCTGTAGTGCCTTGAAACTTGACAGGAGGAGGTCAGGTCTGATAAGCGTCTCGAAACGCCGCCAACCCTGGAGCCCCGTCCTCAAGCAGTTCAGCTGCGGATTTAGCAAGTCGGCAAAGCTCGCTAGGAGCTGAAAAGCTGCCTAGAGCTTGGCCGACTTGAAGGAGTTCGGCGCGCTACTTCCGTTTTATGAAGCTGCCGAAGCTCACTTAGAGCTGAAAAAGCTGCATAGTCTGGACCGACTTGAAGGAGTTCGGAGCCCGAAATTTGGTATTATGAAGCCGTGCTTCCCGGGCTTAATTTCGGCATAGAAACCACTCGTTTGAGGATCACAATCCCCAAGAATCACTGCTAGCCTGCCTGCCTGATTTTTTTAAATCTAAAAATACGTTTTTTTTCCAGGACAAAGACTCGCTGTGCGCGTCGTGGGCGGCGAGCGGCGCCTGCGACACGTGGCCCATCATGAAGGAGCGCTGCCCGGCGTCGTGTCGGGCTTGCTAAAAGCGCTATTTTACGTTTTAAACTTTAATCTAAAATTATAATTTTAAAATATAACAATTAATCTATCTAAGACCCCCAGTGCTCAACGCTATTTTTAGGTTTCCCCTCCTTCCCCGATTTCTATTTACAAAAAAAACGGGTCTGCCTTCCTGTTTTTGTAGTTTGTACTTTGCCTATTTTTGGATTTTGTAGTTTGTATTTTGTAATTTTATCGTATTTTTATTAATTTTTTCGTGTTGTGATTGATTCTGTAGAGATGGGTGATGCCCAGTATTTTATCTGTTTTTTTTTGCTCGAAAAACACCTAGATTTCGAAGTAGAAGCGTTGGATTTTGATAATTTTTATACCGCTAGAAAGCCTGGAAAATTTGCAGTTTTTTAGGATTTCGATATTTTTATGGTTCTATTGAAATCTGTATTTTGGTACGAGTTTTTAGCGCTCAAAATCCGATTTTTACATGCAGTTTTCATTGATTTAGGCGGTTTTTACGCGAAAAATCGACCGGAAGTTGTGAAAATTGGGTTTAAAAGGGTGCTTTTCAGCGTTGCAAAAGACAGCGAAACTCGGAGAATTTGAATATTTTTCTAAGAGCGCACTTTCGCACTTTTACCGTAATTCCACAAATTTCTGACATTTTTTGACGATAAAAACGACGCAATTCCTGAAAATCGAGCTCAAAAACTGTGTGCGGCCATTCTAAAACACGCTATAAAATGTATAGCCTCGATTAACCAGTATAATTTAAATCGTAGAAAACTCGCCGTTTTCCGGGCTTTCGAATGATAGAAAAATTATTACGATCCGACGCTTCTACGTCGAGGTATAGGGTTTTTTTCCCGAATCGGTGCTTTCGCATTATCGGGGGCAATTTTTTGGATCCAATTTTTCAAAAAATCTACTAGCGAAAGTGTTTCTAAAAATGGTTTTCACTATTCCTACATAAAAACTTTACAAATTTTTATGAAAAATACCAAAAATATCGATTTTTCGACAATAAATAGCCGATTTTGGCCAAAATTTCGACTTTAAACGTTTTTAAAGATTTTAGTTAGTTTTTCCGGTTCAAATATAGCTAAATCTTGCTAAAAACTACTAGGCATTTCTAAACGTATACAAAAAAATCGTTCCTGCCCCCGGTAATGGCAAAAAAGCCGCCAAATCCCCCCAAAAAATGCACGCTGACCCTCGGCTTTACAACCCATGGCAGAAAAAAAACGAGAAAAAGAACAACCAGAAAATTTTATTAGTTTTCTTTTATTAATTTTAGTTCTCCATAACTTCCAATTTTTATACTAAAAAATTAAACCTGTGACTTCCGCCCGGAGAAATTGTAGCTTTTCTCCCGATTTGGACGGTGCTTCTCCCCCCGTTTTTTTTGAGCATATCCCGAGCTGAACATTGTGATTTTTGAGCCCGTTTTACATTGTATTTTTTGAATAAAGCGTGAAATTTCATATTTTTATACGTTTTGAAAAGGTTGACACACACGGCCGCCAGGGCTTACAGCTTACAAATCGAGGGTTTTGGCTTTGCTTCGTTTTACTGGATCTTTCGCATTATCGGGGGGACAACTTTTTTCCAATTTTTCTATTACAAACCAGGGTTGAAAAACCGCTTCGCGGCCTTTCAACCCTGGCCCCGTCTAGGATCGATGAAGTTATTTACTTTGCATAATTCCTGCCGAAAACCGCTCACCAAAAAATGAAAAGCGGGCCCTCTCTTCCTTTTTATAAACCATTTCCACTTCCGGCGTATGCTAATTGCTTCCTAACAAAGAGGTTGGCCAAAAACTTTACAAAAACCTAATTTTAATATCGAAAATAGCAATTTTTCAAAACATTGATGTGTGTGCAGTCGATTCGGGACCCTTGGTTACCTATTCACGCTTCTTCCCTACCGAAAAAATGCTTCTCCGAGGCTGTAGGTGCGGAACATCCAAACGGAAGTGCATGCAAATATACACACACACACACACACACACACACACACACACACACACACACACACACACAAACACTATTTTTTTATATATAGTAGGATAGTAGGATACCCGCAGTGTTTCGAAACCGTTTTTTATTATTCGCAAACATAAAAACTTTATCAATTTTTCTTGGAAATCACACAAAAAAAATCGATTTTTGCACCAGCAATGGTTGTTTTTCGGCGGAAATTTCAAGTAAATTAACAAGTAAGACCGTTTAAACGGTTTTTTTAACTGTTTCTAAAGCAAAAACTTCACAGATTTTGATTAAAGAACACAAAAAAATATAGTTCTGCGAGCAAAATTAGTCAATTTTCGACCAAAATCTCAATGTTTAATTTTTCTGTTTTTTTTTAGATAGCTTTGTAGTTTAAATCTAGTTAATTCTTGTTAAAAACACTAACAAAATACTTCCTATTACGTTACTAGGCATTCTGGACGTCCCGATAATGCAAAAGAACCGCCCAATTGTAAGCTTCTGGGCTCAAGTTTCTCGTTTCTCTTCGTTTGGAGCGTATTGTAGCTTAAAAACGGACAGCTTTCCAACGCGTTTTCGTACGGGGCCCGTGCAGCGCCCGTACTACGGGCGCTGCATTTGACAACGCCTGAACTGCAGGATTCCTATTGCGCGCCCCAATGACCGTAATCCACGGCCCGGGGTTTACGCCACGTAAAGGCTCGCAAAAACCCAAAACAAAGGCTAAGCTTGCAAAACATATTTCCTTGTTCGTTTTAATAAATATTTATTCAACAAAGTGTGTAACAACAATTTTAACAAGGAAAATCATAATAACTAGGGGGTTGAGCCCCCGTGGAGTCGATTCATGTGCACCCCTAGTTATTATGATTTTCCTTGTTAAAATTGTTGTTACACACTTTGTTTTCAATAAATATTTATTAAAACGAACAAAGATTTTTGCAGCTAGCCTTTTTGGGTTTTTGCGAGCCATTACGGGCGTAACCCCGGGCCGTGGATTACGGTCATTGGGGCGCGCAATAGGAATCCTGCAGTTAAGGCGTTGTCAAACGCAGCGCCCGTCGTTTTCGTCTCGTCTTTTTGCGTTTCCGTTTTTTACCTCTACGCAACTAGTAAAATCAAGTTCGCGGTTTCCACTTTTCACCTCTTTACGCAACTAATAAAATCAAATTCGCCGATTCTCCAGCTTCTTCTCGACCCCTCTTCTTCCGCTTAAAATTCTGAAGCCGCTTCCGGTTCCGCAACGCTCCGCCCTCTCACACCTCATTAGTGCTGCCGGCTTCACCCCATCGACAGCTGCCCGGTCCGGCCCAAACAGCTGTAGGCCGGCCCCCCGGTTGCCCGGGTGGTCGTCAGCAACGCGCCGCTCCTATGCACGGGCTGTCGTTGTGCCCAGATTGCACCCCTGTCCGCTGATTCTTCCGCTCGACGCGTCTCTTTGCACGCGACGAGACATCGGTTGGGAAACCCCCCCGCCCCCCGCCACCAAAAAGCCTTCCCGGGGGCCGGGGGGCCTATCCCTTTCTCCTTTTCTTTACCTTAAAAATTTTGTGTGGGGGGGAGATTTCCTCGGTTTTTTTGGGTGTTAAATGGTCCTGTTTCGAGCCAGCAGCTTGCGGACCCCGGATCCCGTCATTATAAAGACTTTCCGGGCCTGCGGATCCGCTATTCTCTTGTTTACGCCTTTATCTAACTAGGAATAGCTTGTAGAGGCCATTTCGGGGTTTCACGGGGTCCTAAAGCTTATGAAAACGCTACGGTTATATACCAACCAGACCTGATTTCTGTTATCCTTTCTTCCTTTCTATGATGGGCTATATGTCATAGTGATCTTCTACCGGAAGCCGAGAGGAAAACTGAAAAAGGGGACCTAGTTTTGCCCGAATTTCCCCCAACTCTCCTTTCACATCCCCGAACGTTGCGAAAGCGGAAAGCTGATAACCAGCTATACCGAATTTCCCATATCTCTTATCTTCTTTTTCTATAATAAGCCAGATGTCCTCCTATCTTCTGGCAACGTATAGATCAAGCATTATCGAGCCGGCTTACCCTTAGTGGGTTACGCTGTCGACATTTCCCGATCGATATGTCTGCAACCAGGCACGTGCGGCTGTCGACTGCAACCCATTTCCCTGCCCAGACGTCCCGAATTGGCGTTTCCTTTCACCTGCAATAAAACTATAGAATCCTCTTATTATTCTTACCTTATTAAATAGAAAACCGAAAGCCTGATAAGCTGTTTTTCCTTGCAACGCGCGATCAGCGGCTTTAACTTGCGTCTCGTTTCTGAAATTGATTTTTTAGTGTTTTTCAGCTATAAAAAGTGAAATTTCTGATGCGGAATAAAACTATATACTCCTCTTATCAGTCTTGCTTGATTATATAGGAAACCGAAAGTGGCTCAGCTGTTTTTCGCTTGCAACGTGGCGCGATCAATCATTTTGACTTGCTTCTAGTTTGTTTTATTGTTTTTTAACGTTTTCAGCTAAAAAAAGACAAATTTCTGACGCTTCAAAGCGCCAAGCGCCTTTTTTTAATATCTTTTGTCTAGCTACGTTTGTCGTTTAATAATTCCTATAACTCCTATAACCTTAAAATTGTAATCTTACTATAGTAAATATTGCTTTCTTTTCTTTTTGTTTGTTTTCCAATTCCTGCCCTTCCCATCTAAATGGTGTAATTACCGATCTTTTCCAGGCGCATCCGATGATGCAGCGGCACGCTCCGCGTTTGCTGGCTCCGCAGCGCCGTCCGGACGACCCATCCGGCGCTCAAACCCAGGGCAAGAAGTACGAACTCGTCTCCCGGCAAACCACCAAGGTCACTGCCCTCTCCACGAAATTGGAATGGAAGATTAGCGAGGTATCCGGCTTTCTCAAGTTTCTTTAACTTGTTTTTTTCCAGTTCGAGCGGCTGATGAAGCTCTACAAGAACGGCGACAACCTCATCAGCAAGACATTCGGCTGCCCCGAGGTTTGAAAACTCTTTACTTACGATTATTTTTGTTTTCCAGGCGCCGAGCGTCATCTGGGAGCTGCACGTGTACCCGAACGGCAAGCGCGAGGAGGACGCGAGCAACGTCTCCTTTTTCCTGCGACAAGTCGGACTCTCGGTACGCCTTTTTCAGGTGTTTTTGAAGTAAAAGAACAAATTTTGAAGAAGGAAAACCTTTTTAAACTCTGAAAACTCTTCGAACATACATTTTGTTCATTTTGTTTGCAAAAATAGATTTTCTTTGTCCTAAAATATACATTTGAAATAGGACTAACGAGGTTTCTGATTCTTACGCATTATAGCAGCTGTTTTTGCTATTCCTAAACGTAAAAAACTGCAAATTTTGATTAAATAATCCAAAAAATACATTGTTTGACCAAAAATGGCTCTTTTTAACTAAAGTTTCGACTTTTTTTGAAAGTTTTAGACAGTTTTTTGTTGAAATATAGCGGTATTTTTAGGCGTATAATGTAGAATTTAGCTTTACGCCGCCTGAAAGCATATCTCATCTTCTTTTTTAGCGCAACGACAAGCCTCTGATGACCGAATTCCAAATCTACGCGGTCGACAGCTTCAACCAGCGGGTCAGTGTCTGCCGCGACACCAAGGACTTCACGCATCAACAAGGACGGGGCAAATTCCAGGTATGAAAAAGTTTTTAAATCTAATTTTCTGTCTAGGTGACCCGCGACAAGCTGATCGCGGCCCTGCGGCACGACGGCACGCTGGTGCTCTTCTGCGAGCTCGAGTATCTACTGCCCGAGCAGGGCATCGAGACGGAGGTCGAGGGCACCGTCGACGACCAAAAGAAGCAGGAGGAGTTCTTCATCCGCGAGGCCAACTACGAGATGTGGACGAACAAGCGATTCACGGATTGTTGCATCAAGGTATAGATTTCGTTTCTTTAGCGCTTATTTTGGATTGATACTTTCGCATTATTGGGGAGGCTTTTTTAGGTAGCGGAAGTGTTTCTAAACTTTTTTGTCATCGTAAATGTAAAAACTACCAGTTTTTTCTTGGAAATCACAAAAATTCTCTATTTTTGCGCCAGAAATTGTTGATGTTCGACCAAAATTTCAAGTAAATTTTTTCCTAGCTATTCCTAAACGTAAAACTTGCACAATTTTTGATTTAAAAAATGCAAAACAAGATCGAGAAGCAAATTCTCAAAAATGTTCCGTTTTTGGATAGTTTTTCGCCTGAAATGCTGTTACATTTTACTAAAAACGCTATTAAGATACTCACGGGCAATTTCGGGGCTTGTAGGAAAAAAGTTTGTCTCCCCCCGATATTGCGAAAGAACTCTGGTTTTGAAAGAAAGTTTTAAGGTTTTTCATTCCTTTCTATTTTATTCCCAAACCTTCTCATTTCAGGTCGGCCACACGGAAATCGACTGCCATCGCTGCATCCTCGCGCAACAATCTGAAGTGTTCCGATCGATGTTCCAGGTATGAAAATTTGCTTTTTACTTAGGTTTAGTTTTAATATTTCTAATATTTTAAATTTTATTATTTCGAAAGTTTTAATTTGTATTTTGCTAATCTCCCCTGTTTAGGAGGAATTCCGCGAGGCCCGCGAAGGTGTCATCGAGATCCTCGACTGCAAGCCGGGCGTGGTCAAGAAGCTGCTCGAGTTCATGTACACCGGCTCGTTCGGCGCCTCGCTGTTCGACGCGACGTGCACCGTCGAGGAGCTGCTCGCCATCGCCGACAAGTACGCCGTGCTGCGGCTGAAGGAACAGTGCGAGTTGTGAGTTTTGGAGCTTGTGCAATATCGGGGGGAGGGTCTTGAAATTGAGCTGAAATATAAGAACACAAAAAAAAGAGGGGTCTGTCTGTCTGTTGTCTGTCTGTCCGTCATGTCCCGAATTCAACTCGAAGGGGAAAGGAGCTAGAGCTTAGCTCTCTTCGGATTCGGATAGAGCATGGTCAGAAACCCCCAAACTGATAAAAAAAATTATGAAAAGTTTAATTTAAATTATAAAATTAACTTGAAAGTTTTTCCTTAGTAATAGGGGTGGGGGACGGAGGTTGGACATAGTGAGCCAGGTGGCGCGCGTTTCGTGGATGAAAATTTTCACGGGGATTGCACTTTTTCTCTCATTCCATCCGGTCGGTCGTTATTTTCGTTTTAAAACGATTTCGGCTAGGGGAGGTATCTAAAGCCATCAGGAAGGTATTTAGGTAGTTTTTGAAAGGGATTTCGGCTATGGGGGGTATCTGAAGCCGTTAGCGTGGGTATTGTTGGAGGTAGGGAAGGATATGGTGGAGTAGGACATGTAGGGTAGCCCGAAGGCCAGATGGTTGCAGTCGCGAAGCGACTGTAACCATCTGGTAGATTTATAATTTTTGAAGCATTTTCTAAAGTATCTTAGAAAAATCGGTTTATTTGGCTGTTTTTGCAGTATTCGATTTAACTTGCCTTTTCAGCATGCTCTCGAAGGAGCTGAACGTGAAGAACTTCTCCCAGCTGGCCAGCTTCGCCGATCTCTACTCGGCCGAGCTGTTGAAGAGGGCCTGCACGCGGTTCCTCGTCGGCCACCACAAGACGGTGATGCGCAGCCCGGATTGGAGGGAGCTGAAGAAGACCAACCCCGGCCTCGCCAACGAGCTGCTCGAATCGGTTGGTAATTTTATAAGCTTTTAGTCGGCTTTGCTTTTGTAAGTTAGTTAGCTTTTGTTGTTAGCTATTTTCTAGTTTTTCTGTCATTTAATTTAATTTTGAAATTTCTAATTTTTGCTTTTTAGGCGCTCAACGTCGGCGAGCCGTTGGGGAACAGCATGGACGAGCTGGACGACAGCAACGACGAGATCGAGCCGCCGCCCAGGAAGCGTCTGCGAAGGTATTGATTTTTTTAATAGTTTTGAAATTAGTTTTTTTTTGCATTATCGGGGTGGGGCTATAAACTTTGTACCTATAAGTTTAGAAATGCTTCGCAACGTAAAAGCTAGTGTTTTCGTAGTTTTTTTTAAGCAAAATTTAGCGATTGTCGAAGTGGAAAACAATAAAAAGAAACTTAGAAAATGTTTTGATTGAAATTTTCGTAGAAAAATCTTCCTTTTCTATTGTTTGATAAGAATTTGTAACGTTTGTACTTTTAGGAATGATTCAAAAAAACATTTGAACACTTACTGTAAGTTGAGGGAAATAGTCCTTAAAAAAGGCCCCCCCGATAACGCAAAAGAACCTTTTAATCCAGTTTTTAATTTTTTTGCCATTTAATCCCGTGATTTCAGATTTGGCAACAACGCACCGGGACAAGGCGACTCGTCCGCCTCGCAATAGGCCCGGCCAACAACAACAGCCTACCAAGAAGCATCTCTCCTCCACATCCACCGGCCTTTCCACAACAAATCGGGTATGCTGCGGTCATTTTTCGCCCCCATTTTGACCGGAATCTATTTCTGACTTCCCCTCGTTGTTGCCCCCTCTTTTTCGATATATTGTAGACTCCTCCTCGAAAGACTCGTTGCTGCTGCTGCTCCCCGCGCATTGTGATCAGTTTAATTATGCACTCGTGAGTGTGGCGTCAAATTATTCCCTTTCCCTCCCCTTGCCCTCCCCCCAAATCTCTATAAACGCTAGTTGTTTTCAAATTCGGGAACGCTTCAACTCGCCGATTTTTATTTCGCGTATTTTGCATTTTGGTGGTTTCATTTTGAAAGAGAAATTTAGACAAAAAATTCAGAAAATCGGTAATTTCATTTTTAGATAAACAACGAGGTTTTTGATGAAAAACTTGAAACGCTACGCATATAGGCGCGGCGTCGGAATAACGGTCTAATACAAATTCAGCGCGTAAAAACAGGATGAAGGAAAATAAGGGTTATTAAATCCATTTTTCAGAAAATTAGCTTATTTAAACGCTGTATTTATTGGCACGCTATTTCGACGTCGCGTCCGCATGCGTAGCCTCTAAAATTAGACAAAATTAAATTTTTGATCAAGTTAAATTGGAATCAAACGTAGGCAAAATAAAAATTGGCGAGTTGAAGCGTAATCTTTGAAACGACCCATCTTTCCCTTTCCCCCGCACTCGGGCCCTCCATTTTCCAGCTAGTCTTTCATAATATATATACACACACACGTAAAATCCGGTTGCCCCGAATTTTCGCCAGAAAATTTGGCCCAAAAAGTCTAGTGCAAAAATGTGTTGTTCCCCGCAGTCTCTCCCAGTAGTAGTAAGCATTCGCCCTCTCTCTCCCTCGCTCTATAGTGCCCCTCTCTCGTTTGTTGAAACTACTCCCTCTCTGCCTCACTCATGTCTCCTTCGGCCTCCTCTCTCCCTAATGTTCAGTCGCCTTTTAAATTTTAATAAATACACCTATTCTTACGACTTTCGACTTGTACGCACGCAAAAGCGCACTGGCGATTCGGCCTTGGTTTATGTGAATAACGGAAAGTTTGAAGTTTGCAAGGGATTTTTTTATGATATATCTAGTTTCCTAGGCTTTCCCCCGACTTACCCGACGGCTAGAAAACGAAGCGACTGAAGTTTGGCCTAGTTCATTGGAAGCTAAGCTAGAAACCACTAGGCCTAGACTAAATCTAAGCTGTTTTATTTGGAATGACGCCTTTTAGAAGCTCCAAAACTATAAATATCAAATCTACGCTAATTTTCGAGCTCTTTCCTGAGTTTTTTGGGGTTAGGTAGCAAGCTTAAAGGGCTGTATAACTTCTAAACTTCTAGGATCTGCGCAGACGACCGATGCGTTTTTCTTGGCGAACCTAACTTTCGGCGTGTTTTCTGATATTTTTTAGAGCCTGGAATCTAGCGTGTTTTTCTGGTGAGCCGACCTTGCGTGAATTGGCCGGGCCGTTAGCAAGGGAATGCAGATGCGAGCAGAGGGTTGAGAAGCAGGCCATTGATGGATCAAGGCCACGAAGAGGCGCCAGGCGGCAAACGGCTCGTCAACAAAACCCAACCCTCCCGCGGCCTCAAGGATGTTTATGGATCGACGACGCTGCACATTTGGAATGGGTTCTAGGTTTGAGCTTTGGTTGTTTTATGTTTGGTTTTCCCAGCCGTATCGGGGAATATATGCGAAAACCTTGCTTTTAGATACGAGCGCGTTTTGCAGGTTTTTTAGCGTTTGTTGCGCGTACATTTCGTGCATATAGGAATAGTTTTAGCTATCTAGATTTTCCCTTTGTTGTTAACGGCGTTGTTTTCGGGCTACGGCGCGGCTTTGGCTTTTTCAAGTTTTTAGCGTTATAAAGCCAAAAAGGATAGATTTTGATAGCTAGAGATTGTCTTTTCCGGCTAACTTCGTCGCTTTTAGATCCGGAGTCGCTTTTTAGCTTTTCCATGTTTTTTTTTGCGCCGAGATATCTGGCCTAATAAAAATAGTTTTAGATGACCAGACGTTGCTTTTACTTGTTAGCGGCGTCGTTTTGAGTTACGAGCGCGTTTTCCATGTTTTTTAAACTTTTTTTTCGTGTAGATTCGGAGCCTAAAAGCTTTTTCTTGTTAGCGGCGTTGTTTTCAGACCAGAACGCGTTTTGCTTATTTTTAGCGTTTCTTTTAGGGTGATTTTTAGATTGTTAGATTGTGGGGTTTCTGGTTAGTTAGTTTTTTAGATAGAAGCACATCTTGCATCTTTTTCAACGTGGTTTGCGTGGCGGTATCTGGACTATTTTGATATTTTTTATGGAATGGAAGATATGGAAAGAATATTTTGAGATGGCTAACGTTGTTTTGATTAAGGGCCCGTTTTCTTTCCCGTACCTTTTTGATCCTCTATCAATTAGCCATTAACAGAATGTCGAAAACTAGCTTACCAGCTGTTTTCTTGGGACGGACAGAATTTTCTTTTCTTTCAACACACAGTTTAGCTCGCGACTTGTGTAACTTTTCTCTATTTCTATATCTCTCTCTTTTCTCTGGAGCGGATGACTCATCGCAAGCCGGTAGTTTTTAGCTCTTTTCCTTGCGCTTTTCTTTTGGTGCTTTTTATAGCTGCTCCTTTCTCAATTTCCCGACGAAAAGAAGATCTGGAAAACGCGCTTTATCAATTTTCTTACAGGCCTCTCGAACGCCCGAGCTTCTCTCGTCATTTTCGGGTTTCTCAATTTCCCCCTAGATTCCGCCCCTTTTCTAGGTGCAATGTTGGGCAAACATACGCGATTTTCGTTGCCCAGCAATTGTGTTGAGTATTCCAACGGCCGGCGCGCCTTCCAGGAACCTTTTCAAAAGGACGCCATGACTCGGGCTGAATTCGTTAGATTTTTCTACGGCCCTTGGAACGTTCCATTTATTGCCCATTCACCTTTTTAGGCCTTGAAAAGTATTAAAAATGAATTTTTGTTTGCCATCATTTTGGATTTTTTCAATTTTATTAAAAATGCGGTGCTTTTCTTTTAGCGGGGGGGGTTTCATATTTTCCTTAGGCACCGGGCTATCAGAGATGGTTTAGGAAAGGGCAGGCTAGCAGAGATTCTTTAGGAGGGCAGGCTAGCATAGATTCTTGAGGAAGGGGCAGGCTAGCAGAGATTCTTTAGGAAAGGGCAGGCTAGCAGAGATTCTTTAGGAAAGGGCAGGCTAGCAGGATTCTTTAGGAAAGGGAGGCTAGCAGGGATTCTTTAGGAAAGGGCGGCTATCAGAGATGGTTTAGGAAGGGCGGCTAGCAGAGATTCTTTAGGAAGGGGGGCTGCAGAGATTCTTTTAGGAGGGGGCTGCATAGATTCTTGAGGAAGGGGCAGGCTAGCAGAGATTCTTTAGGAAATGGAATAAAGATTTAAAAGATACACTAAAAAATTAAATTTACAATATTTGCTTTTTTGTCAAAAAATATGAAAAAATAACCAAAGAGTCGACGTTTTGAACTTTCAGTTTTTTAAACGGGTTTTGTAAGTTCCTAGCATTAAAAACTGATTAAAAAGACGATAAAAATACATTATATAATTAGCTTTTGCTGTTTACCGCCTCTAAACCTTCCGCTTCTTATCTTTATTTCCTACTGTTTTTTCTTGGCTTTCACTCCAATTCTGTGTCCACATTTTTCGTTTTCCATTTCCTTCGCTTTTCTACGAGGAAAACTTAATTTTTGTTTTGTTTTGCAGAAAATGCCGTTGATCCACGTCGAGGACGACGCCCACTTCAAGAAGATTCTCGCCGACAACGCCGACGGGGTCGTCATCATCGACTTCACCGCCTCATGGTACGCTTTTACGATTCGGTTCCATAAATGAAGGTGCTTTTGCATTATCGGGGGGGGGGCATTTTTTTCTTAGGATCCAATTTTCCAAATTTAAATAGCGGAAGTGTTTCTAATTTTTTTCGAATATTTCTGAACGTAAAACTTTACAAATTTTTACTAAAAAAAGTACAAAAGTAGATGTTTTTGACCAATATTCGACTAAGAATAAGTTTCTGATTATTTTCCACTTGAAATAAAATAGATTTTTAATGTTGCTAAAAGCACCATAAAAATATCAGGGGGGGGGGTGTTCCCCCCCCCCAACAAAAAGGGGGGGCCGACAGGGGGGGGGGGGGGGGGCGGGGGGGGGGGGGGGAGTTTTTTTTCCGGCGTTGTTGCGCTTAACTATGAAGTGACTAGGGAATTCTGGACTTCTAGGCAAAAAGTTGGTCCCCCCGATAACGCGTAAGTACCCAAATTAAATTAATATTTTTGTGTTCTAATCAAATCCTTAGGATTGCTAATTCCAATCCCGTCTTTCCAGGTGCGGCCCGTGCAAGATGATCAGCCCCGTCTTCGAGGAGCTGGCCGAGCAGCACCCCAATGTGCCCTTCTTGAAGGTCGATGTCGACGAGTGCACCGGTAAACTTTGTTTTATCCCACTTTTCACCTTTCCTTTAGAAGCGGCCGGTGACGTGAACGCGATGCCCACCTTCCGCGTCATCAAGAATGGGTTCGTTTTTCTTATTGAATTTTATACCTTTCAAAATTACTAAATTACTTGGCACTTAATTCTTTTTATTAGCTGCATTTTTAGGCTTTTGACTTGATATTTTGAAAAGATATTTTACTTGGTTGACTGTGAAAGGATATGGAAATAAACCTAAAATTTTATAAAGATATAGGATACTATAAAATTCTACTATATTTTTATAAATATGTTTAAAAGCATGCTTTTGGTATATTCTGATTTTTCTCAAAGTTTTTCCTGGTTTTTGTCGCTTTTTAAAATAAATGACCATTTTTAAAAGATATTATTAAAATCCTAGATTTTCTAAATCCGTTTTTTCCAGAAAGAAGGTCAAGGAGTTCAGCGGCGCCAACGCGGACGAGCTGAAGGCGATGGTGCAGGCCCACGTCGCG